CTACAAGTAGAATTTACTGCTTTTCCAAAATGTTGTATTCGTTTGACTATACCTCATTATTTAAACAGCAAACCGTCTGTCTACATTATCCATTTCGATCTGTCTTAGTAAGTATATGCACAGTTTGCATACGGCTCACGTAGGCGGGGGTGTGGTAGTCAATTATGAAATAAGTTTTTCTCCGGTTACGCGCAAATTTGGCACCTGGAAAGTTACCACCACTGGGTGGATTTGACCGATGGAAGTTCTAAGGACAACTAAAAGAAGATTCAAGATAAAAATAACAATATGGCACTAAAATAAGATAGGGGTTGCGTGGTTTTGATAGCAGTTTCATAATGTGTCTTAGCATATATGAATGTAGATACCACTAAAATGAGATGAAACAGCAATAGTGTTCATAATTGGTATGGGGAAATATCTTGTATTCTCTCCATATTTTACCTGGAAAACGTTTTAGTTCACTTTAGCATTAAAATGAACATGATTTCAATACGTAGGCCTACAATATACCGTAACATATTTTGGTTAAGCGCAGCAAATTTTACTGTAACTTATTAAGAACACGAAAACCGAGTTTAAAAATCGGCTCTGTTTCAAATTTGCCTCTTTGGCGTTCCATAGAAAGCCGCAAAAATTTACGTTTAATGTTGCTCTTTTGGCGTTCCATATAAAACCGCAAAAACGACTGAGACACGGCTACAGAATGCAGAAATACGTAAACCCCATTTTGGTCCATTAAAACACACGTGGTCCAGTGAAAACGCTTCGAAAATTCTCTATTTTTTCCACAATTAATTTGAAATAGGGATTGATATTTCATCACTTGGGCAATTGTGACTTTGATCATCTATGTTGTTTTGACCGCTAAGTTTCGAATCCTAGGCGTTTATTTGGGCCCTGGGTTTTCCATTATGATTATAGGCTTTGAGCGTAATTATAATCTAGATATTAGCTGAAATAAGATTTAAACTACACGGCTAATATGAAAACAGATAAAAAAAAATGGAATAGACCTACAGCATAGTTACCAACCGTCTGGCATCGTGCGGGACGGTCCCGCATTCAATGATTTTGGTTAAGACACGCATTTTGCAAACACACATGCATGATCATAAATTTGTCACGCATTTAGCACAGGCCTATGCGTGCTAACGAATTATCACGAATTCAGAGGAAAATGTATTTAAAATTAGAAGAAATTGGTTTTATTAAAAATATAAAAACAGTCACGCAATAACTTGAGTCATTGATCAGTAGGCCTATGCCTATTAATTTTTTGTAGTAATGAAGTAGTAATGAAATGTTTGTGTACATAGTTCGGGTGCTCAAATTAAACGTAATGTACATTAAAACCCAAATTGCACGTGGCTTTATTAAAAATATTTTTTGTTTATGTAGGACTATCCGGTATTGTCAACAAACACTCCCTGAAATTTGTTTTAGAACATCTTAAAAATGCTCAGATCGTCGGAGCGCCAGGAGAATGGCGTATCTATGGGGAAGCGGGGGGAGGGGTGGGGCGCACGCCCCTCCAAAAATTACTCGCGTCCCCCCGCCGGCGCCCCCAAAAATAGCATGGCAAGTTGCTTTAAAGCACGTAAAATCACGTTATTTTGCGAGTTAGATCCCCCTCCCTTTAATTGATCATCGATCCCTCTCACTTCACCTTTGCGCCCATTATTTAGCACCCCCGCTTCAAGACTCCTAAATACGCCACTGCCCCTGGACCCCCATCGGAGCTCCGCCTCCCTACCTCGAGGGGTCCCCCTCCCCACCAGTCAACTGATGTAGTCAAGCATTTCAAATCTCTCAAGTTGGTACCTCTGCTACAGTCTGATACACGAAAGTTCACGATAAACACATCAAGAAACAAAAATATTAGTAAAAACCAACCGTATTGTTTTGTTCGTTGCAATCCATGTTACTATCACTTGAACAGCCTTTAATAATAATAATAATAATAATAATAATAATAATAATAATAATAATATTAATAATGATAACTATTATCATTATATTAAAGTAATATATCATTATTGTAATTATTATTATGCATTATTATTTTATGTGGATTATCTACAGTAATTAAGTCAGTCGTATGTCAACTTTTTTCACCACAGTCAAATTTTCAGTCAATCTCATTCATTGATTGTACAATACATAATAACATCTTCAGTACTTCATAGCCCTTCATACAATGTAGCAAAATCTATATCATTTTATACTTTTATGCTTTATGTTCGATATATATCATATATTTATATTATATATATATCATATATATATATATATATATATATATATATAATATATATATATATGAAAGTCGATGACCATTCTCAAATCTTCTATCAACACAGTTTTATATATAGAAGAAGGCAACCACTAATATATTAGTTGTTTCGTCGTTAAAAGCATGATTGCAAACGACGACATCTAAATTCCCACATTTGAATACCCGACCGGGACCAAGAATAGGGTCTAAGTTTCAGAAAGCCACAGGGCATCCGGCCCCATCGTTACACCACTGTAATAGTAATGCATATGATAATTTTGATATCAATAATTAATAAAATTAGAAGTAGGCCCTATATAAAATTAATTACATTTCAAGATAGAGCGAGTGTGAGAAGTAGGTAGAGTGAAAGTATATTACTCACTTTCTTCACATAAATCTCCACTGAAACATGGTCTGCATGTGCATGATGGGGTACAGGTATCAAAATAAGGAACACACGTTCCCCCATTTTTGCAGCTTAAGTTTTGACAGAGATCAATAGCTGTTTAGTATAGAAATAATTTATGAAAACACACTGACAACACATTAGTAATATTATATTATAATTAGGTGTTAATATATAAATTGCAGTGTATGGGTGTTCATAAACATGTGTGGTTAATGCAAAGGCTTTTTTTAATTTTTTATTTCAACCATCTTTAAAGAGGGTAACCCTTCGAGTTTAGCCCAGTAGGTTAACTGATATTCAGGGGCCCTCTTTAATAAAATCAAAGAACAGTACAAACAACATCATTACAACATAATAATAATAATAACAATAACAATAATAATAATAATAATAATAATAATAATAATAATAATAATAATAACATACAATCCTCATAACAACTCTTAAAAGTATTAAATTGACTTACATAAAGAAAATTCAAAATAGAAGTTTAATTTATGCCTAGTATAATATAATGTAATATAATATAGTATAATATTGAATAAAAATCAAACAATGTAATATTAGGAATAGCTCAATAAAACTGCAATAAACAACGGCTAAGAGTTTAAAATATATCGTTTTAACTTAAGTTTAAATGTATTTTCTATTTTGCAGTCCCGGAGCTCAATTGGTAAATTATTATAAAAATTAGGACAAAGATAACTAAATGCACGTTTAAAACATTCCAGATTGACTTTGGGACAAGCTAAGTCACCTCTGGTTGAAGCTCGCGTTCTTATAGCTCGGGCAGGGACTCTAGAAATTTTCTCCACAAGGTAACTAGGAGCAAAGTTGTTGATGACTTTAAAGGTAAGGCAGCCGACCTGATATCGCACCCTTTGCGATACACACATTAAGTTGAAAGTGGATAGAAGTGTGTTAGTTGAAGTGCGTGGAGGTGCTTTAATTATGATTCTCATGGCCCGATTTTGCAATTTCTGAATTTTGTCGGTGTTATGCAAGCTGCATGTAGGAATACTGTAAATCGTTAGTAGTATTACACTATATTGCGGTAGTGGTTGATTGTAGGTTGTGGCCTGCATTGCTTGTTAATTCATAATGTCTACAATGCATATAGGAATATATATGAATGATTAACTTATATATTAATACAATGAAAGTTAGGATACAATACGTACAAGACTGTACCTCTTATGGTACACCTCTTGATTAGGATGCGTTATTTGAGGCAGCGTATCGAGTGCTGACGTAATCATTATAAACATAGCACGGTGTTTATTACTTATAGGAATATAGGAACTAGATTTAATTAATCGAAACTCTGTAATACAACTAAGTTTGTACTATTTCTTTTATTTTAGTATAATTCATAATATACACGTTTTAAGTCTACGTATGGATTTAGGCATAATTGTTTAACTTACGAATAATACCTTGGCTTATATTGACAATATGCCTGGATTAGACTGGATAGAAGTTGCTTTGCTATGTTATATTTTCATCTTTAAATTATAGCAACGCTGTTCAATAAAGGTTTATGGAAATTTGAACGCTTTTTCGTAACTCGTATCTCCGTCCACTACAATAGGCTATAATATGCATTTAATTGATATTTATAATAATAATAATAATAATAATAATAATAATTTGCATCATATGGTTCTGTTCACAATTGAAGCAAGCTATTTTCAATCATTTTTGTAGTTGTCTATATTGTATGATGAAGTAAAATATGGATGCAAAGAATGCATTAACATAATATATTTCACCTCTTACTCTAACAGTTTTCTTAGCAATATTTATTACCATAATCTACTAAAATGCTGATATTTGTGAACCTTCACACCATGTTCTTAGGGTTTAAGTTTCCCCTTAGCGACACTACTTTCGCCTTAAGGTAC